CTGGAACTTTGAACCCCGGCCCTCCACAGCCCAGCCGAGGAGAAGGCCGCCAGCACTACAGACGGAAAAGGAGCCGACTAGGGTTTAGTGTTTAAGGTTTAGGGTTTAGAGTTTAGGGTCTAAGGGTTTAGGGTTTAGGGCTAGGGTTTAGGGTAATGAGATCCCCATAGACCCCATATTCTATCTACTTAAGGGGAACTATAGAGTTCAATTAAGGTTTAGGGTCCATGTGTGAAAGGATGTATGTGGTTGTCAGAATCACGGCCTCTTTTCGTCCGTATTATAACACATCTCCCCATATTCTGTTAAAATTTAGTGTCCCCCAAAAGGGACTGCCATGTTGACAACCCTACATGTAGGGATGCAGAAGTGGAGCTTCGCGTGTAGGGATTCGGTCCCTGGGCTCGGGTTGGGCTAAGAGGTCAGGATGTGCGGGCACGGTTTCCGGATTCAAGCTTTAGGACTTTAGTTCAGGAGGATCCCCCCACCCTGTTATAATAGGAATATAAGAGGACCCTGATATAATAGAATCCCTTCTATACCTTACAGTCACTATTGCTGGGTGGGGGGTCCAGTTAAACTGCATACCAGGAAGTTGCATATCGTTCTTTTATTCCTGGCAAGGGCCACGGCTCCAAAAACTGAAGCCGCACGGGGTAGAGTCTTGGGTATTACCTTCTTTCAGACGGTCTCCCTAAACCCTAAATCCTACCACTTAAAGATGCAAAAAGGATATCTAAACTGGCTAGTTCGGGGGATGCCCTGATCGTCGCAACATGAACTCTATCCCGAAGGTGTCCTAGCATTCACGTGGCACATACTTTGGGCCCATACTGGGCTCTTATTTTAACATCTTGGGGGCAAGTACATACAATGCGGTGCTTGGACCCTGGGTCCTGCAGGTATTGCTTCGAGTACCCGAGACCCTAAACCTTGTCAGTCCAGCCCCCCAAAGCCTGAATGGCTTGGTTGACTCCTTGCATGCCTTCAACTTCAAAAGTCCTGTGTTTTGCCAAGGGTTCAGGGTTTAGGTTTTAAGGGCTAGCACAACGCAACGGGCAAGATTCGCTAACAATTATGGCTAAATAATCTGGAAAGTATTTCAGTACCTCTGTACAGTGCGACACTGGCCACCTGCTCCCCGCCCCTCCCCACCCCATTGGTATGGTGCTGGCAGCCAGCATGTTGGTAAGTGGCTGTCACTTGTTGAGGTCAGGCAGATCTTCCTTCACACCCTCTGGCGTGCTGGGCTGTTTTTCTCCTTCATCTGTGGCGCGTTGAGTGTAATCTCTTCAAAACTATCAGCATTGGAAACAACTCAGACCCCCTCTCTCCGGCCGTGGTGTGGTTGGTTGTCTTCCCTCAACGAATGTCATCATTGTGGCTTTCTGCCACCCGCAGCTCTCGGAAAGGGGCTGCCTTGTTGGTGCCAGCAGCACTCACCGGGAATCGTCTGAAGATTGTGGCATTTCAACATTGAAGTTGTTTGTGGAAAGTAGTCAGATCTTTCCACTCACCCCACTGGGTGTGGGTGGTTGTCTCTCTTTCCCTGTTGCGTGGGCCGTGGTGGACCGGCACCATCAATATTTGGACGTATGTAGGGGCTTCCCAAAATTAGGGGTACCATTTTGGGGTGCGACATCAAAATGGTGACAGCTACGAACATCGTGACGAGGACATCCGCCCTCCGTATGTCTGCCAGCACTTTTGAGACTTGCGACATCAAAAACGACAACAGTTAGGAGAATCGCGCCTCCGAGGCCTCAATCGTGATACACTTGAGAGTCCGTGGCGTCAGAGGGCCATACCATGGGAGGAGGGGGGGCTGTCGACACGAGAAACAACTGCATATGTACGTAGGGGTTGGGGCTGCCCTAATTATTTGATTACTGGTAAATCTCCAGGTGTTCTGGAAGGGTACGCTGAACCCCAAACCGTCTATAGTCCCCCTTCAGTAGATAGAATATGGCTTTGGGTATATTATAATACGATCACCATATACGCCATATCCTATCTACTTAAGGGGGACTATAAACCTAGAGGAGTGCGAAACGCATCACTGCTTCGAGCATCCTGAGCAGTCGGAGTGCAGAGGAATGTGCCGAAGAAAGGCTGGGTTGTCTTCGGCTTCAGGGTTTACTGTAGGAT